CCCCAAAACCCCAAAACCCCAAAACCCCAAAACCCCAAAACCCCGTTTTTCAATAGAATAATAGAAGGGTTATTCTATTATGATCTTAAGAAATCCCAAATGCTCCTAATGTGTATAGTGCAAAAGCTTCTGCAAGATCTGTTCTGTCTGACTTGAGAGTGATCTGAATGTCGAAGGTCATCACGTTGAATAGGAATTCCATCAAGAATACACCTGACTCTGTATGCTGACTGTATAGGTAGAGCTTAATAGATTGGTCCACTTGGCCATTAGCCATTCAGAAAATATATTTTGATGCAAAGAGATTTCATAGGTCTTGAATTGAAGGTGCTGAAGGTAAGCTAAGTCTTCTGCTGATTAATGGAAAAGCACTCAATGTCATCCATTTTTGCTGGAAGTTATTCGGATCCAGATCTGCAGTTGTTTTTAAGGTCAACTGTGGCTTTTGAGGTTCTGCTTCAGCAGCTGGTGTTGGTCCCGAATCTGTCGAAAAAGCAGAAGAAAGGTCATCAATACTGGATTCTTTAGTCTCTTTCTTTTCGCCAGTGCCCATTCCAAGGATATCATCTGGCTCTTGGTAAACTTCTTCCTTCTTGTCTTCCAGAATATCTCCAAATGTATCATCATCTCCAAGGAGATTAGCTGAAGGCATGAAATTTTCTGAGAGCTCTTCTTGAGGCTGAGATATTTCTGGCTGTTGTTCTTCTTCAAAGTCGATCAGGTTGTTATCATCTTCTTCAACCTCGTCCTTGGTTTCTCCCTCAGCAATGCCTTCTTCGGCACCCTCATCTGTTGCCTCTTTTGTCTTTGATCTTTTAGAATGTTTCTTCTTAAATTTAGATTTAGATTTGATTTTAAGGACTTCTTCTGAGAAGTATTCATCATGAGTTCCATGCTTCGAAGTGAGATTGTTAGCTGTGTACTCCTCTATCTCAGGTCCATCACCTCAGATAATCTGCTTGGCAGAGAAGATGTCTGCTTGGAGTAATTTGTAGTAAAAAGCAGCCCTATCTTTGAGATCAGCATCTGTGTTCTCGGTAATGGAAAATTTGATGAACTTTCCTAGCATATTTTTCACCTCTGGAGCCCTAGTGAAGAAGAGCTTGGCCAAACTTGTGAGCAATTCTATTGAAATCTCCACACATTGCATATCTTTCTGAGCTTCAATCATGATCTCCAGAATGTATGGGGCATGGGCGATTTCGTTGCCGAATTCTCCTAGAATCCAGATATAGGCTGCCTTGGCCTCGTTTTCAGATATGGAGTCGAAGCTGATGTTAACGAGGAAGTCCTCAAATTCCTCGACTGCTTCTCTGTATTTCATAAAGATCTTCTTAAGAGCGAGGATACACTCACTGGTGATGTAGTCTGTATGAAGTGACAGAAAGTTCTTTATGATAGAAATGTTGTCTTCAAAGTTGTTCAACTTTATCATGATGTCTCCAAAGGTCTTGATCGCCCTCTTAGCCAGGTCTGAGTTCGCATCAGACACATACTCTTCAAGTTCTGAGATTATTTCCTGCACATTTTCCTCGCTGGAAATTCAGGCAAGAACGTCTAGTTTGAGGAATTTTATGTAACTCGGCTCTTCATACTTCAGGAAGAATTGCTTGAAGTCATTTTGGAAGAACTCCCCTCCTCCCTTTAGGCAGATGAAGTGGATGTGGCTAATCACATTGTAGCAGATTTCATAATTTTCAGTCGTTCCTGCTGATGCCATGATTGTTATAAGTGGGGAAGCCAGTCTTTCTTGCACATCTTTGGACAAAGTTTTATCGTCCTTGGTCAAGGAAATGAATACTTTTACTGCTCCTAGTAATACTGAAGATGATGCGTGCTTGAGTCTATCTTCAAGAAGATTCATGATGTCAAATTTAAGGTCTTCATTGTCAGCTTCAAATCGTGCAACAAGGTCTAGGATAATGCTCTGACCCCATTCATTGAAATCCTTGATTCTGTTGAGTAAGGTAATAACGATCTCTTCAGTTGGCTCACAGCCTCCCTTCTTTTCTTCGATTTCATTGAGTGCTGATATAGAGTTGATCACTACTAATGGAGATGGGTCAAAGATCAATTTATAAAGTTTCTTGGTATATTCCTCATTTTTATTTGCTCTAAACACTTTGATTCATCCAATGATAGCTGTCTTCTTAACGTATGGGTCTATATCGTCTAAACCTTCAAGAATGGCCGCATTCGTGTGAGCTTCAGAGTCTTTCGACCTTAAGGAGCACAAAGATCTGAGAGCAAGCCCTCTTATTTTCCCATTATGGCTTTTACAGTCGACTAAGAAGGTATTTATGGCCATAACTACTAAATCTGGATTTTTCTCAGCGTAATTAGTGATGTATTGATAAATCATTTTCTTTTGGACAATGTCTTCAACCCTTGAGGCCTATATCTGTGATGGGTTATGATTACTTTGCACATTTCACTGAATAACGAGGAAACATCAATTCCTAGGGTCATGTATGCAATAACTTTATTTAATTGTATCTCTCTTTTTAGTTTGATCTTTCTCAAAACTTATCCCGTTTAGAAGTCTAAAGAATTAAGGTTAGTTTAAATAGGATTTGGACAATGTTTAAGATAAAGGCAGAGTTGTATCAGTCCAAAATATATACCCTTGTTTCTCATAAAAATATCCAAAAAATCACATAAATCTCTCTCCCCCTCTTATTCAATTAAAACACTTCAAATCAGGTAATAAAATCTCTATCTGTTCATTAAAGTCTAGTTTGGGTATTTTCTTAAAATTAATACTATCTTACATCTTAAGTTCATTTACTTCGTTCTTCTTGGTCAGATCCATTTTTTATATTAATTTTAATATAAATCCAATCCTGATAGAAAGTTATGGGGTTTTGGGGTTTTGGGGTTTTGGGGTTTTGGGGTTTTGGGG